AACTGTTGAATGACAACTCTCTAACACACAACTGACATGAAGATAGACACCATTATGGAACTGACGACTATTTACCTACAGTCAGCTAACTTTTGGTACAGTCTAGTCATGGAATCATCACTCTCTGCAGTTTCAGCAGACATCTTCATGGAAGGTTTTGAAGAAAGAGCTGTCTCATCTACAGATATAAAAAACCAAGGTTTTATAGGCATTATGTTGACAACACTTTTGTAATCTGGCCCTATGGTCATGAAAACTTACCAGCCTTCCTAGAATATCTTAATTCTATAGACAAAAGGATTCACTTCTCCATGGAAGTACACAAACCTAACCATTATTGACATGCTTATTAGCAGACACAAAGGTAATATTACTACAACTGTATACAGAAAACCTACCTACACTTCCACTCCTATCATCCAACTTCTGTAAAATGTGATATTTGAGGTTTTTGAGATGAGGGAAATATATTTAATCTTAACATTAACATTATTTTGTACATGGACTATTCAAAGCAAATACTCAGTACATTCATGGACAAATCTTTATTTTAGTTTCTTAAAAACACTTCACTAAAAAATATGAGTTTCTGTATGTCAAAAACTTATAAAGTTAACCGAAAGACTGCCAAATTTTGTGAAGATATACACACTATATCGAAAGTTAGAAGTATTAAATCTAAAAAGAGTTTGAACGAGTACAAAGAGGTCTCATGGTCAGTCCAATTGACAGAACCCATGTTGATAAAGTTAATGGTACTGCTACACCAAATAATTTTTATTTAACACGTTCGCTGCCACATAGTAAATTAATTATAAAAATAATTAAACATTCAAGAGGTGCCAAAGAGCAGTCACAGTGTCCCAAACTCATATGCCAAAAGAGAAAGTTGGCTTTGAAACATAATTGTCTGTGACCCACCAGTGTGTCATGCAGTTCATAATTAAAGGTTGGTTGTGAATCTGTTAATTAAATAATGTTTTTCTGGCTATCCATAGATAGCTGGTTTGTTCTCTGGATTATATTTAATTTTCTTCAACACACCTAAACACACAGCAGAAAATTTTAGGATTTTATGAAAAATCATATCTAACTTTGTGCAATATATGCTTTTACTATACTTCTTGTTCTCTGTGCGATGTCTTTTCAAATATATCTATATATTTATACATATGTATCTAAATAGTTTAGGGTGTCACTCTTTATAGTCTTAGCTTAACAAACATTGTTTTAAATTCCTTTTATACCACACTTGAAACAGTGTTTTTAGACATAATACACCTTCAAATAAGATACGGTAACATGAATTAGAAGTGTGACTAATATAAAGGTGTTAGGGTGGCAAAAGAAATGCAGAAATGTACAGACACTGATAAATATTTATTACTGGTTTTTAGTATAAACACTCCGAGCTTCACTCATGCAGAGATTAGCTTGGGTACAAGTATTTTGAATACAGAAAATGTAATTTTTCATGGTTTATTACCCTATGACAACTGAAGATTCTACAAAATCTGAGTTTTCTGAGATCTTAATAACTAAGAACATGTGAATAATGTCTCTATTAATTCTTCTACACCTGAAAGAAAATAATTTTAAAACTGTAAGCCTCTCCTTGTAGTTAACTGTGCATCATTTTGCAACATGTAGCATGTCCCTTCATTTTTCAAACACTGATTTCCAATAAAGAGACCAAAACCAAACACAATATTTCAAATGAAACTCACCATTTTTATGCAAGATTACAATAACATTCTTGTGTTGCAATTCAACTCTTCCAAATAAAATCCACAATAAAAAAGCATGGAGACATTATAATGGTCATTTCTGTTGTTCTTAATGAGCAACCATAACTTTCAGTTGTAACTGTTCATATTCAAGTATTTAATGTAATTTCAGCATTCATTGAATATTTTCTTTTTCATAATGAATAGTTCTCCAAAACACAAGAAAACATGTATAAACTTTTAGAGTTACAGATATATATCCAGAACTTTTTTATTCCACCACTCATGACAAGTTAATGACTTGAAATTTTTTACTGAGGACAGTGAACAAAGGATCATGGACACAACAGACATAACAAAAATATGTGAACTTAAATATTAGGGATAAAAGGTTTCAGCTTTGGAAGCCTCCAGTAGGAGCAAGCTTGTTTGTTGAAGAAATTTAAGCTAGTAATGCCTGATAATGTGATGTTTGCTATTAGTTTTAATTTTTTAAAGCTTTTACTGGATAGGTATAGTGTACATTTATGAATGCAAAGGACACATTTATATTGGATTTTGTTTTGAAATCTATAGTGTATGAGTTCATTTATATTCTAACATGTTTTGGGTATGTCTCATTTTAATTATATTAATTGAGTAATTTCTTTTAAGGAAATACACCACTTCATCTTGCTGTCATGCTTGGACATAAAGGTATGTTTCAGAGTAATGTGTAATGAATGTATTGACTAATTTCTTTTTTTTATGTGTGGTATTTTCATTTTGAATTGATTTCTCTAAGAGTGACAAGATAGGTTTGTAGAATAACAGATTTGACAGAATGTTTATTTCAAAGTAGTAATGAGTAACTGAGTTTGTGAGAATGAAATAAGGAGACTGAGCTGGATTGCACAGAAATACGAGTAACAGTCTTTATTTAAAACACAAATGCTATGTGTCTACTCTTTAAATAAAAGGCAGACACTTATTTTGATTCCAAGCTCTTTACAAACTGCCCTAGTGGAGATTCTATTCCAGACAAAGTAAACCTAATGCTACTTAAATAGTCTGGTAATGTCTTACTTACCCAGAGAAATTATTACTACCTACATGACTTGAGGCACCAAATTTCCTACCATTTGAGGACACTGCTCTCTACATTCATGCACAAGGTGCAGCTTTACAGTCACACTTCCTATGGGTAAATTAGATATTAGCTCAAGAGACTGACAAAGTATAAAGGTAGTTACAATGAAAGCAATTTAATTGGCTTTCTTGATCATGTGTTATTTGAAACTACACATACACAGAATAAGAGATTAATTTCAAAAAATTCTATATTAAAACAATGGTAGAAAATGCATGACATGCCTGTATGCCACAAATGTAGTATGTGTGTGTATTTATTTTTTAAAAATAGTATAATTATTTTAAACTCTTGAAACAAATATCTCCTCACACAGAATAGCTTCTTTCTTCTTCTTCAGCCAAAGAGATTTACAAGTCAATTAGCCTTGTGAAAACTCCCGCCTAATCTCATGTAAAACCACATGAACTTGTGCCATTGCATGATAATGTAATCATGCAACAGAACACTCCAACAAGAGTATGACACACTTCCATGCCCTATGACTTCCTCTACCTTTCTGCTTGTGATTCCTCATACTTTTCCTTGGCACTGTCATGAACAAGTGTGTTTTGAGTTTGCTTAGATGTGACCTTTTTCACTTTTTTAACCTTCACTTGGTTGAGTTTTAACACACTCATTATGAATTCACAGTTTAATGTGAACACTTCTTCTGCTGATGTGAGTGAATATATTACTCATCCTGAACAAAATACCAATAATTCCATAGGAAATTCTTTATCTGTGTAAGCTGTGACAGCCATTGCCCAATGTGTGATGGGGTCCATGATGCAACAAGACCATCTGCTTCAGTCTCTTCCACACACTTCCTTTCCCCCTTCCTTCGAGCTTGATATTGAGGAGGATGAATTTGAGCACCTTTTTCTGCCTTCAGGTTTTGCTATGAAAACCACTCTTAGTCATCCATGCACTATTTTCCTGACTTCAACTTTTTTGTCGATATCCTCCTCATATGCCTCTCTTTCCTTCACCATGATGGAAACACTTCACTGTTCTCCTGGTGACTTTTCTAGGGACTCTAGAGTGCTTTTCTTCTCTGCAACGTCCCGTTTCACGTACTTTGCCTTTTTTCTTTTCACTTGATTCCTTTGAACAATACAATATATAAATACAGGTTAATAAGTATTTTTATTAAATAAAGAAAATAATAAAAAATATAATTCAACAAGCAAAGAAAAAAAACTAATTCCAGAATAACAATATTTCATCATATTTAAACTACAAAATCACTAACAACATCAAGTAATAATCAGCAATAATATTCTTCAGCTATATCTCGTGAACTAACTTGTTAAAGTTCAATACAGGGTTTTTTGCTTATTAGTTCAGAAGATTACAAATCATGTGATCATAATTTACATACTCTTGTACACATTCATAATATCTGTAACTAATTTATATAATCTTGGGCAACATTAATGATATCTGTACGATACACTAGGGGAAACTGATGTCAGTCTCATAATACACGTGTATTTACTCAAAATAAATGTGATCCTTTAGAAGATGAGTTAGCATTTTAATGTAACTCAAAATTCACAGATAAATTGAATGATAGAAGTATTGATAAATGAACAGAATTTGCTATATCACACTGTTCCTGCATCCTGACCTTCCACCTCTTCTCAACATACTTCCATTCAATGTTTCACCCACTGATCTAATCATCAGAGACTATCTGGTTGGTTTTGGACCATTGGGAGCCCATCTGTCTCAGTCTGCAGACTTATGGACTCATTTCTCTGTCGGCAGATGGGTTCTACAAGTTCTTTCCTATCACTTTTCTCTCCCAGCCTGTTGCCTTTCAACACCCATTCAATTGTGTTTACCTTCAACATCTGTGTTGGATTTGTTGAAGAACACAGGACATCAAGAGATTTCACAACCTCTTTCTGAGTTACTACTATTACTTCTTTGTTGTCCCTAAAAAAGACTGAAAACTGATACCCGACTATCAACTTTTCCTCTACCAATCCTTTCCTGGTCATTCCACATTTTCAGATGGTGAATTTTTCCTCACTGCATTGATCTTTCCAACCTGACTTTTGGATGAACAAAGTCCATGTGTTGGATACTTTTCTCCACATCTTGATCATCCTGTCTTTACAAAATGTTCTCCATTTCATTCATAGGGATTGCATTTTCCAGTTCCATGCCCTTTCATTTGGAATACCATCAGCACCTTATGTTTTCAGTTGCATTGCATGGGTTTTCACTCAACATCTTCATAATATTGGTCTTTGATTCCATTTCTACATGGATGATTGGTTTATTCTCACCCACTCCCAGGCAGTATCCTCCAAGCACACTTCCATTCATCTTCACAAAGCCACTTCGTTAATGTGGCTTGTCAATACTTCTAAGTCCTTCCTTACCCCGATCTAACACGTTATTCTCCTGGAAATTCTCTTCAACTCTTATCTCAGTTGTGCCCAACCTTTTCCATTTTGTTTATAGGACCTCGAACATTTGGTCACAAAATTTCGTGCCTGATTTTAACATTCTGTATGAGAGGTTCTATCTCTTTTGGGGACCATGGCTTCTCTGGAACTCCTCATTCCACTTAGTTATGCACATATGCATCTTCCATAGTGGGCATTGTGTGACCAATGGAACCTTTCCAGGGATTCATTGTCCTCACTTCTTCTGTACTGAAAGATTTTGCTTGGGGGATTGAATGCTCCAAAACTACCTCCAGCATTTCTTTACCTCTTCCAAAACTAGACCATCACCTCTACATGGATGCTTCACTCTCTCTGTATGGGGAGCATCCCTGAGTTGGGAAGTCTTTAATGGCTTTCACTTTATCATCATTTGTGTATATTCCTTCATAAGCAATTTTAAACCCTAAATATGATACTTGTGGTTGACAAAATTTTCTTTTAGAAACTTTCACAGTAAAATTCATTGTATGTAGATTGTAGAAAACCAAGTCAAGGTCTTTCAAGTGTTGTTCAAATGTGGATGAAAACATTATTATATCATCAAGATAAGCCTTGGAACATTCGGTTGCTCCTGCTAAAGCCTTATCCATTAAGTCTTTGGAAGGTAGCAGGTGCATTTAAAGACCAAAAGTCATCACTTTAAATTGATCAAGTCTATTATCTGTTATGAAAGTAGTTTTATGTCGATCCTCCATCTTAACATATATGAGGCAATGGATAGTGGTCAAATTCCGAAACTTGATTCAAGTTCCTGTAGTCCTAAAGTCCTAGAACCTAAAATCTTCTTGACAATAACTACTAGAGAAGTCCAAGAAAAAGTAGAGGGTTCAGTTAACCCATCATGGAGCATTTCATCCACTTGATCATGTAGCACTTGTAACTTAGTGGAAGAATAGTGATAATGTTTACTAAACAGTAGTTTTTATAAACAATGTTTTCACTCCAACTTCACGCATGGGTTTTGTCCAGTCCCTTGCAATATGTTTTAGGCTCTCTTCATGGGTAACCTTCCTCCCTTCTTGTCTGTCAAAAAAAAGGCACATTTTCTGTTGTTGGACATTGTGACATTCTTTCTACCCTTTCATCCTCAAGTTTTCTGAAGTTTTTTACCTGGCTCTTCGACCAGAGTTTATCACTGTTGGCCATCTCTGGCTACAGGGCAGTCCCATCTAATACTTGTAGGTTACCATCATGTATTCTTCTCTCCAGTCCTTATTATGATCTTCCATTCTTATCAACACCTTCATCCTCCCCACCCTGCTGTCCTTCCTAATTGTGACCTGAATGTTGTTCTCCATACCTTTACCTTTTTTTGAACCTTTAGCCTCTTGTTTCTTGTACCATCTTTCAGTTAAACATTTTGTACTTCTTTTTGCCTGTGGCCATTGATCATCTGATGTATAATCCATTGATTCTTCCCATATTATTTTTCGTCATGCATATATTGTTCTTTATCCTGATCAGGCTTTTCTGCCTAACATATATGTGGTTTGTTAAGGAGATAGCATATTTACTCGTATTTCCTTTCTGTCCATTTTTCACCTTTATTCTCACTCTGTTCCTGATAACCTTCTCTATCCTGTCTGTGTGGTTTGGTGTCATTTGGCCTGCACTGCTTATTTTTGAGGTTCATGCTCCTGTCTATTTATTCCTTGGAATCCCTCCTCTACCAAAGACATTTCTACTATTACCCTCACAGGATGGTTTTGTTAACTCTTCTGTTTAGCCTATGCTTCATTGTATGATGATTTACATTATCTAGCTGACATGTGAAAAACCCCACATACTTTCATCACACATTATCTTCATCATCTGGCTGTTTTTTCTTCATCAGTCTACAGGCTGCCTCCTATTGCAATTCTCCATATACCTTACTGGCCCTTACCTTTTTCAGGACCCCACTCAGTGGTTAGTGATGCTTGTCAGGATGTACTTAAATAAATTTGCACCATGTAGGGCCTTTCAGGCCTCATATGGTGCTCACTGATAGTATGGGTTCTTCCACAAGACTATTATAGGTATCTTTATGGTATATAATTTACTAAACAAGGCCCGATACAGACTGTACTCGCTCATGGACTATCATGAATAAAGTAGTGTTCGGATAGCTGCCCATACCTCTG